GAAGGGACATGCCCTTCCTTTCCCCTTGCTGCTGGCTGCGATGCACATGTGGTAGTGAGCCATAGTGGAGTAGAGTCTTGAAAGAAAACACTCTAAGGGCAGTACAGCACAAAGCAGAAGGATACTGGGTCCCTAACAACTTTCTTTTTCTTTTTAAAATGATTTTCTTTCTTTTAAAAAAATATATTATTTATTCATTTTTAGAGAAAGGGGGGGCGGAGAAAGAGAGGAAGAGAAACATCAGTGTGTGGTTGCCTCTTGCATGCTCCAAGCTGGGTACCTGTCCGGCAACCCAGGCATGTCCCCTGACTGGGAATCCAACTGGCCACCCTTTGGTTCACAGGCCAGCAATCAGTCCACTGAGCCACACCAGCCAGGGCCCTAACGACTTTCAAGAGCATAGCTATCATACTAGCTTGCATTATACGTAAAAGAAAAATATATTTCTATATGTTTAAGCCAATGTTACTTTGGGTCTCCTTGTATAGTTAATGAAATCAAATGCCCAATCAATACAGAGAGGTTTTACAAATTAGATTGACAGGGACTATGAAAAACTATGAATAGTTTTAAACCTCACAATTCATACAGTGGGGATGAATTACTTTACAAACAATATACTCATTTACCCATTTACCAGTGAAGTAAAAACAGTTGTTTCACTAAACCTTCTTTAGCACTTGGTATTAACAATTTTTTAAAAATTGACCAATAAAGTAGACTTCATTTCAGTAGGTTTCCTCTAACTATGAGAGCATCATATACAGCAGGACACAGCAGGCTTTGACTCACCCCCTGGTACTCTTCTCCCCACTATGGCTGGCTCAGTGCCTTGTTCCTTCAGGTACTGCCCTTCTGTATGCTGCAGGGGTGAGAGGCAAGGCCATCACTTCACTCCTGGCCATGCTGTCTCCCTAACTCCTAAGTTCAGTTGTCTCAGACAATTAAACTCCTGATCTCAACTCTCTAAATCTGATGGGCCCTTTGGGAATAAATTAATTATCTAAGCATGCAGTGCACTGACATACTATACAACCCATTGTTTCTTTTCCACCCTCACTGTCTAACCTGCATTCTCTGTAGATTTCATTGTTTTCCAGGACTTTCTGGTTGCAGCTACTCAATAGTCTATTCAATAATCAGCAACGGTTGGTCCAGAATCTTACTTTGGAAGCATTTCTGGCCTCAATGACTAAAAGAGAATTCTGCCAGAGTTGACATGGAGCAAAGCCATTTTCTGGTAATGGGATTAACTGAGGGGGTACATTTTAGACATTTTAGAGCCCTGATCCTGTTTCTGATGAAGGAACTCTTGACCAGCTAAAGGTAATACTAGTTTCAAAATCATGAGAGCCTCTTGTTTTTGGTGAAAGTAATTCCTTCAGGTATGATCTATAGACATCCTTTCCACAATGACAGACTGGATACTAGTAAACCTAGTTTTTTAACAGGTTAGTCAAGCATTCTAGATACCTGTGAGAAAAGCCTCTTGTTGAAGTTGGGGGGGAAAGATAGTCTTTTTTTATTTAAACTCCTTTGATGCACTGTGAGGTCCTACCAATTTCCCATAGATAACATACACTGAAGTCTATAAAAACCAGCAACTTACTTATTTTTAAGTAATGTACCCTAAAAAACAGTGCCATCTGGGAGTGTTAAAAATACTAAACTTAGTAAACAATTAATTCTAGAAATCATGTTTAAAATTACCAAGGAAAATACATACACTGAGGAGTAAGCAGCGGTAATATCTAGGTGATAAAAATGTGGTGCTTTTATTTTTTCTTAGCTGCATTTTCTAACTTTATAAAATGTACATATACTACTATTTAAATAATAAACAATTATGTTTAATTTTTTAAAAAAATGATGTGTTCTTCAGAGAGAAAGCAGATGTTTGGCTATAGGAAGAATCTTAATACTGACAGATTATTATTATTATTATTATTATTATTATTATTAAAGGCTGAAATAAAGAAACTTGTCAGAAGTTGTAGCAGAAGGATTTTGAAAATTTTGATGATTAAAATGTTTCACTTGAACATATAATGAATATATACTCAAACATCTCTGATTTGTTAAAAAATCAAATTAGGCATATAACTGTCTTTTTCTTTCGATCTTGGTTTATCTTAGACTTCACATCTCATCCCTTTACTTTCAGAAGGATCAAGTTTTCTAGCTTCTCCTTTCTTGCTCTGCTTGTTTAGTTTTTGGTAGTTAGAATGTCTAGGGAAGGTTCTGTTTCCTTTCCCATTTCAGAGATATGGGTCATCCACTGAGTTAATGCCACAAGCTTCATTTCTAGACATCTGAAACTGTGTTTATCTGTTTGTAATAATGAGAACACAGTTCAAAGGAAAGAGCTATGAGAACCTCTCATTCATTCTTGGTGAAAAGGCTAAAAATCAAAATCAGGAGAATCTGAGTCCAAAACGAGACATGCCTTAAGTAAGAATACCATTAAATATAAGCAGAAAGGAAGAGGGTGAGGAGGACTCCTTGAGCAGCACTGTGACTCTATGATGAACATGCTTTTGGTTTAGACCAATATATACCAGGCTGTTAGCTCTTCTTAACCATTTATGTTTTGGATTGGTTTAGGTCATATGGAAGTTTTCCCTTACCATTGTTACACCTGTCCTTTCAACACCTTTTTTCTTCCTCCCGGAACAACCAGATACATCTTTTGGGACCCATTCCCACAAACTTAGGTCTTAGCTAGCTGTCAACAGATGTCACTTGTGGCATTCTGTTAGTTATCTATCTATTCTACTTCCTTCTTTTTGTTTTCCAGCAAAGCCCTGATTTTGTGCAAATAGATGATCAGGGAGTCTGGGTCCTTCCCACAGTGCCAAGTAGGCTCTTTATTCTTGATAATGACTGGATTAGGATAAGTACATGACACAATGCACATCACCTTTGCCAACACACTAAGAATGGCAGAAGAGAAATATGAAAGCCCTAGGACTTTGATGGTGTCACTGAACCACTGAATTAACCAATCTGTAACTACCCTACATTTAAATATGGTTTTGTTGGGTTTTCTGTTATTTGCAGCTGAAACTATCTTGATATTCCACCAAATCCCAACCTATTTTGTGAATTTTGACAATATTATTTCAATAACCATGCTGTTCCTTAAGTATCCTTTTAAGTATAAGTACATGCCCAACACTAGAATAAGAAAATATATTGAGACTCAATCAGAATTTTTCTATTAAGGTACCCATCAACCTTGGATTTTCATACAAACACCTTTGTAAACTGACAACTTCTTTGAAAATAGACTCTGAGGAGAGATATTCTGAGCTCTTTGCACCTGAAAAAAGCAAAGTTGTATATTGACCAAGAGAACCCAAGCAATTTTTAAATTTTTAATTGTTAAAACTTTATTGATCTTTAGAGAGGGAGAATGGTGAGGGGGAAAGGGAGGAAAAGAGGGAGAGATAGAGACAGAGACAGAGATAGAGGTAGAGATAGAGATATAGAGATGGGGGGATTTCTTGATACACTTATTTATGCATTCATTGGTTGATTCTTGTATGTGCTTTAATCCTGGATCAAATCCACAATCTTGGCATATTGAGATGATGCTCTAACCAACTGAGCTACCTGGCCAGGGTAGGAGCTCAATTTTTAAATTCCAAACCCTTACACCACAGCACTGAGTGTCGTCAGCATGGAATATATGTGGCAGTGGGGCAGGTCCAAGGTGAGGTATCATTAGACATACAACCTTCTGAGTAGCACATAGACACTTCCAATCCCCACTTCAGGCTCTGAGCTTGACCTCAGATGGGCTGCAGCTCCCCAGAACACAATGCCTCTAAACCAGTGATTTTCTTTCTTCCTTTCTTTTATTGTTAACACTATTTCAGATGCCGCCATTTTCCCCCAGACCAGAGACTTTCAACGGGTGTGCTGCAAGAATTTTTAAAGCATGCAAAACCCGACTCGTCAGGAGTTACTAACCTGTTTTCCCTTAGATTGTAAATTAATCAACGACAGCCAACACAATAGCAGTCTGGTGTGAATGAATAAAAATTACACCTATTTTTGTTGGATCAACAACAAAAAAAAACCCATATCATTTGGTGTGCTGCCGCAGAATTTTAGTATTTAGTTTCTGTGTGACATGGGGTGAAGAAGGTTGAAAATCACTGCCCTAAAGTACACTGGGCCTGAGATTAGCAATCCGGCCTAAACCGATCATAGCTTCGCCCACGCTGAAGACACCCCATTATTTTCCACGTACCCACAGGTAGCCCTAGACACAAGGTACTGCTCAAGCCAAGACTAGGACCCTCATTTCTGGTGACTTATTCACCTTACACCAGCGGAACCCAAGTTTTGGGCCCACAGGACACTGCCGGCTATAGCCAACTTTCGATACCGATAATCTTTCGGGCTCGAGCCTCCTGTCTTCTTGCTGTCGTCCTTTCCTGAAACATTTACATCCCTCTAGAGTTACTCTAACACTCCACTTCCTGGGGTCACCCTGCGTGGAGCTCACCGAGGAGACTAGGCAGCGGAACCGGAAATAATTGCTTGGAAAAACCGGAAAGAGACTACATCTCCCAGAATGCACGGTAACCTACCCGTCGGGCGTCGTGGTCTACGTAAAAGAAACCGATCCTTCCAAGGTCACGCTGTCCAATCATAGGGCAGAGTTGCTTAACAGCTTGAGGCCGACCGCTCCACCAATGGAGAGTATAAGAGCGTGGGTCGCCCACTGTGTCCTGTATTCGGGATCTCGGGTTTCGATTGGGGGGTCGCTTTCTGCTACTTCTGCCTGGGTAGCGGGAGGTTTCCCAAAATCATTAGTTCTGGAGCTGTAAGTGGGCCCCGGCCCTGGAGTCAGCCCTTCCGAGACTGGGACCATAAGGGGAGCCATCGGCTCAGGTCTTAAAGGGGAGCGAGGTAGGCTGGCGGTGCGCGAGGGAGCTTAGCAGCAGAATTGGACCTCTAAGGACTGTTTTCATCCCTCCCAGTTCTGACCCGAAGTCCCTGTGGCGTCTGAAAGAAGGCACTCCCTTATCCGAAAAGGCGCCCATGCTCCCGACAACCGCGGCCCGGGTGAGATCAGATCCCTGCCTCGCAGTCCCACTTCCAGTAGCTACTTTCTGTGCTCTGCCTGACCTCTTTTAGAATAAGGTAGGCCCTATGTAATGGGAAGGCCTCTGGTCTCCAAATATCCCTTTCAACAAGCTGTTTTTGCTCCCACGCACATAGAAGTGGCTTACCAAATTCTTACTTTCAGAATCACCACCTGGGAAGAGAACCCATAGTAGAAGGCTATAATAGTACCTCAAGTGTCTTTCTGAAATGCTGCTCAAACTATGGATATCTAGTCTTCCATACCTGTTGAATAAACACAAACAAAACCTCCATTTGATTGTTAATCACATTGAAATTCTGTTGATTTAAATAGGACTGGTAAACTTAGGGAAGAAGGAATAGGCCTGGATGTGATACCACAGTGAGCATATCAATGAGTGTCATATGGAAGAAGAAGAAGGACTAGCAAAGGGAAGGGTGTTGGGAGAACTCTGAATCCCTATCTCTCCTATGATTCTTCCAGGGCTTCTCAGTCCTCTCCTTTACCTTTAGCAAGGGTGTCCAATCCCAAGCCCAGGATGGCTATAAATGTGGCCCAACATAAAACCGTAATTTCACTTAAAACCTTTTATTTTGCTCATTAGTTTTTGTTAGTGTTTGGGTATTTACTTATTTATTGGGTATATAAAGGATTTTACTTATTTATTTTTAGAGAGAGGGGAGGGAAGGGAGGGAGGAAGAGAGGTAGAGAAACATGGATGTGCGAGAGATACATAGATCAGTTGCTTCTTGCACATCCCCAACTGGGGGACCTGGCCCTCAATCCAGGCATGTGCCCCAACAGGTTCAAACCTGCAGCCTTTTGGTTCACAGGCTGATGCTCAATCCACTGAGCCACACCAGCCAGGGCTAATGTTTGTGTATTTAATGTATGGCCTAAGACAACTCTTCTTCCATTGTGACCCAGAAATGCCAAAAGGTTGGACACCCCTGCTAGAGCATCCTTTCTTAATGTTCCCCAAGAGTTGTTCCCTCACCCTTCTCTTCTATTAATCTCTTCTAGAACTTCACAATTTGCTGTCTTGGTCCTTATAGCACTGACTCAAAAATTATGTCCATTTTTAGCCCTGGCTAGATAGCTCAGTTAGTTAGAGCATCCTTCCATATATCAAAAGGTTTCAGGTTCAGTCCCCAGTCAGGACATATACTTAAGTTTGATCACAGGTTGGGGTGCCTATAGGAGGCAATCGATTGGTGTTTCTCTCTCACATTGATATTTTTCTCTCTCCCTCTCTCTCTAAAATCAATAAAAATATATCTTCAGGTGATGATTAAAAAAAAAGATATGTCCATTTTTGCTCCCTCCTTCTCAATCCCCACCAGCATTCCTTAGAACCAATTTATATCCCATCCCCAGTACTCAGGATCCTTTTACACTAAGCCATTTTCTCCCTTGCATCTAATGTTTCTAGCTCTTCTCAGCCTTCCTAGACTAAGTGAGGGGATGGTGTTCCTAGCTCTTGTCCTGAGGTGGGCTCTCATGTTGTTTGAGGGACAAATGCTCTATGAAGACCTGACTGTATTTTTCTCAAGAGAAAAGTGTGAGTCTGCAACCTGCCCAGATGTCCCTCAGCAGAGACACCCCCCAGGAGTGTTTTGAGGGTAAGGCCTTAATGGGTAAGGCAGTTTTTTCTGGATATTGGAAGTTTTGTCAGTTCTGTGATTAGGATTTCATGTCTAATCCACATGTTGGTATTGGGGATTGGGACCTCTCCCTGGGTAATTTATGTAGATATGATAAGAACTTGCATGAGAGTGCAATTTTCAAAGGATAAGATGATTTTTAAAACACAAAAATTCTTTCTAGTACAGTGACTATGGTTTGTCATGAGACATGGCAATACCTGGTTACCTTCTCAAATATTAGTTATGGTCAATTCACAATTTTACTTTTGAAACTCCATTAGTATAGGTTACTGTCGTTAAAGACTAGAGATTGATGACTGTTAAGAGGGTGCTATGCCTTTTTTACCTAAGGGGAACTCTGTGCCTGAGTAGATTTTATCCCTGATGAAGGTTGACTTTTTGAACTATCCTATAATCCATATTTTATATTTTCCACTTTTTTCTTCATGTTCATGTTTTCCTCTATCTTCTCATACATATGAAGTATATTTAAATAGATATTTCTCCATTCTTTCTACTAGTTTTATCATTTGTGTTATTTCTGGGCCTGTTGATTGATTTTGCTTCTTTACATGTCTGGTAATTTTGGATTGGATGCTAGGCATTGTGAGTTTTATGTTGTTGGAGCTGGCTTTTTATTGTATTTTAAAAAACATTTTTGAACTTGGTAGTGCAGTGCAATGCAGTTACTTGGAATCAAAACACTCCTTTCAAGGCTTAATTTTTATTTTGTTAGAGTGTTTTCAGAGTAACCTTTAGTGTAGGGCTGATTCAGTCTGCTGCTAAGGCAATGTCTTTCTGAAGATACTGCCTATGCCTCTTAGGGAGTCTTTCCACTTTGGCTGGGGGTATGTGAACTATTGAACTGTATGTGAACTCTGGAGATTGTTCTCTCTGTTCCTTTTTGGTAGTTCTTTCTCTAGCCTGGGGTAGTTTTTTCACATGCACTTACAGATTAGTACTCGGCCAGAGTCTTAAGGGGACCCTATCTAGATGTCCAGAGCTTTCTGCCTGGGCACCTGATTCTTCTCTGATATTTTGCTGTTGAATTCTAACCATGTTGGCATCCTTGAACTTGGTCTCCTCTAATCAGCAAAACCACTGGGTATTGTTTGGATTCCCGCACAACATACTGTAACCCAGAAATGCTTTCCAGGTAACGAGCTGGGTCAATGATAGGGCTGTTTCTTTGAAAGGAAAGACCCCTTTTATATTGATATATTGGCTTTATAAATTAAGGATGTTTGGAAAAATATTAAAAAGAAATACTTTTTAGCAGGTCCGAGTTTTGTCAGCCGTCCTAGCAATAAGACTGGTTATTATTTCCCTGTGGTTTGTGTAGCAGCTCTACCTTGATCCATCTTTAGTGAGAGATAAAAAAAAAAAATTTTTTGTAACAATAAAAGTATTGTTACAAAAAACTCCTGGTAACAATAAAAGTATTTCTAATAACCAGACTGTTTCTCTGCTAGGTAGAAAAATGCTCATTTGTTCTCTTCCTTTCTTGATAAATATGAATCCCACTCTCTATTCCCATTGTGGTTGTTCAGCTGTCACTTGAGATTGCTTAAACGATGAACAGCTCTTGAGGCTTAAAAAGACTAACTGGAAAACCTCACCTCTAGACAATATCTATCAAGATTGCCCTTAGTTCTTATCCCACTGGACCCTGACTTAGTTGTAGCTATTTTCTCCTTCCTCCTCTCGCAGGCTCACTTAAAAACTGGATTTTCTGGGAAGCCAGGAGAACCTGCTACTCCTGATTTTGTATATTATCAGTGACTGAGTTATTGAACAAAGCACCTGCCTTTCCCTGATCCTCTGTGTAACTACCTTAGCTTGTTTCCCCAGTACTACTTCAGGATGTTGTTTATGCTTTGGTTTGGTTTGTTTTTATCAACAGGAGGGGAAGGCAAAATTGAGAATAAACAGCAACTAAGTCTTGAAACTGTAGGACTTGAAGAGCTTGCCCTAGAATACTCCTCCACTGCTGTGCCTTTTGAAAGGAAAATATCAGGTGAAACTTCTGCTTTCAAGAAAAATGTCATAAGCCTTTCAGTTACCATTGAAAACTATACCCCATTAATAGAACTATCTCAGTGTTAGATACCAGAGCACTTTGTGAAATTCTTGAATTTCCCAGGGAAGAAGCCAGAAATTTGTACAAGTGTTCTGAAATCAACCAAAGCTTCTGTGAAAATTCATACTTTGTTTTGCATCAGAAAACTCACTCAGGAGAGAAAACGTATAAATGTGATGCCTATGGGAAGATTTTCAGTCATAGACCAAATCTGAGGATGCAGAGAAGAATCCATATTGGCGAGAAGGGCCTTACAATTGTGCAGAGTGCAGCAGCAGCTTCCACTAGCACTCACATCTGACTGAGCACATGCATGTCCACGTAAAGGAGAAACCCTACACATGTGGCATATGTGGAAGAGGTTTTTTGTGGCTCCCGGCATTAGCACAGCATCCAAAAACCCATGCTAACAAAAACAACAACAACAAAAAGCCTGTGAATGTACCAACTCTGGTAAATATTTTGGTCAGAAAACAAATCTTGCTTTGCATGAGAAGATGCACACATTAGCCACCTAGTCTCAGTATATTCAGTGCATGAAATGTTTGAGGCAGCCTTACTGCTTGCCCTCCCTGAAAAGGGCCACAAGGATGACTCTGAACACTGCAGAGATTGTGGGGAAAATTTGTTTTTGTTCTCACAGTTCAAACTCTTAAAAATGTCTTGAATGTGCAATGAGCTTTCTTCATATCTGAGTTTATTTTTTTAATATATTTTTAAAAGATTTTATTTATTTATTTATAGAGAAAGAGGAATGGAGGGAGAAAAAGAGGGAGAGAAACATCAACCGGTTGCCTCTCGCACAGCCCCAACTGGGGACAGCCCACAACCCAGACACATATCCCCACCTGAAATCAACCAGCAACCTAGTACCTTGCAGTATGATGCCCAACCAACCGAGTCACACTGGCCAGGGTTCTGAGTTTATTTCTCCTCAGAGTGTTCATAAAGAAGAAAAGTCCCATAAATGCAAAACATACGCAAAAAGTTTTATTTTGGACTCAGAGCTTCTGTACTACCAGAAGAGCTAGACAGGAGAGAAGCCTTTTAAATGTACTGTGTGTGGGGAGTTTCCAGTTGAATATGCATCTCATTATTCATTAGCGAACCCATATGAAAAACATTATGTATATACAACAGATTTTCATTCATGCTTGTGCTTTTCAGTATCTATACTAAAAATGGGGAGCCATTACCCTATATGTGCTAAGCACTTTACACACATTCCATGTAATATTTAATTTTCACCACGACCTTGATTTAGGCACTATGATTTCTATTTCATAATCAAGGAAACATAACCAATGCCAGAGCTAGAGAATGAAGCCAGGATTCTAACTGAGTAACTCAATTACTGTTCAGATTCCATTTGTACGAGTTGGAGAACACATTTTTAAAATCAGTTTTCATTAAAATAAAGGTTACTGCTAGAGTTCAGTTAATGTAGTTTACATGGTTTCTGAGCAAGCTTTAGAAGGAGGAGAATTTATTTTTTTGCCAATTTTGCAGATGTAGCATCTAGGAAAGTAAATACTTGTATATCTGTAGGTTGTTTTTGTTGGTTTTTTTTTTGTTGTTTTGGCTTATTTTTCATATACTAGAACATTAAAAAATGTTTAAGTAAGCATTCCATGTTTGAAAACGTTTATTTTTTATTCCTTGTTTTCTACTTATTAACATGCAAATTATAATCCAAGTCTTGTAGGTTTGGCCTCGGCATTGTTGCTCAAATCTCCTTTCCATTTTCACTACCAGCATCTCAGGGCTCCTGTACTCTCCAGGACTGCTGTAATAGTTCATTAACATTTCACTCTGCCTTTGGCCCCTTGCCTTTTCAAACTCCAGTCGATTGCATGCAAACTGCCAGACTGTTCTTAGCTGCTCTTAAATTATTTACAGCTTAAAATCCACCAGGAGTCATCTTGGTTTAACCAAATGAAGTCCCCATTTTTCAGTTCAACTTTTCAGACCTTTGGTAAACATTTAATATCATTACTTCCATAAGTATACTCTGTATTCTGAGCCACTTAGAATATGGTGCTGTTTACAGAATACATCACCTATTTTTTCAGCTCTGTGTTTTTGTTCACATATAAAGCTCCCTGCCTTCATTGTCCTACCTAAAAAAAAAAATACTATATACTTTTGAGGCACACTGTAAATACAGGCTATTTTATAAAAATTTTCATAATCCTGCCTATTCCCTTTGAATATTTTTAGCGATTTGTCTACATTTCTTCTAAACTACTTGCAGACCTAGTAATTTATGCACTAGATCCATTCAGTCTTTTTTGCCAGGCTCTGGGAGCCTTGAAGAATGTAGCTGTGCCTTTTTCAATTGTGTAGTCTTTGTTGTTCAAGTACAGTTGTCTTCATTTTCACCCCACCACACCCTGCCTCCCACCCTCAGACCTATCCCCTTAGGTTTTGTCCATGTGTTCTTTATACATGTTCCTTGATGGCCCTTCCCCTGTTATCCCTTATCCCTCTCCCCCCTCCTCTCTGGTTACTGCCAGTTTGTTCTTTATTTCAATGTCTCTAGTTGTATTTTGCTTGCTTGTTTGTTTTGTTGATTAGATTCCACTTATTGGTGAGATCATACAGTATTTCTCTTTTACCAACTGGCTTATTTCACTTAGCATAATGCTCTCCAGTTCCATCCATGCTGTTGCAAAGGATAGCTCCTCCTTTCTTTCTGCTGCATAGTATTCCATCATGTAAATATACCACAGTTTTTTTTGATCCACTCATTTACTGATAGACACTTAGGTTGCTTCCAGCACTTGGCTATTGTAAATTGTGCTGCTATGAGCATTGGGGTGCATAGGTTCTTTTGGATTGGTGTTTCAGGGTTCTTAGGTTATAAGCCCAGCAGTGGAACTGCCAGGTCAAAAGGCATTTCCATTTTTAGTTTTCTGAGGAAATTCCATACTGTTTTCCACAGTAGCTGCACCAGTCTGCAATCCCACTAACAGTTCACTAGAGTTCCTTTATGTGAGATATTATGCATTTGTGAATGCTGTACCATCCTTGCATTCCTGGGAAGAATCCCACTTGATTGTGGTGTATGATCTTTTCAATGTATTGCTGGATGTGGTTTGCCAATATTTTGTTGAGGATTTTAGCATCTATGTTCATCAGTGATACTGGCCTGTAGTTTTTTTCCTTTGTTGTGTCTTTATCTGGTTCTGGAATTAGGATGTATATCTGTAGGGTTTTTGCTATAACTATCTGAATGTAATATTTGTTTGAAATTATTACTGTTTTACTGGAAAGGTTTAGAAGCCTTTCTCTCCCTTACGTGAAAAGTTCCCAGATGGGTTGGGACTAGTTAGTGTCTTGATGGCTGTTAGTATCTGTGGAGTTCCCAGTCTCAGATCTGATGCTGTTGGCCTTTGTGATTAAGTGTTTATAAGGAATTTTGGCAATTTGGCTATAGTCCTTTTTGGTGCCTGGACTTGACCAAAGGAAAGATACTTCCTCCTCTCTAGGAAGAGTTACCTCCAGTCTCTACCAAGGCACATTGTTACCAGTCTTGCTATGAAAAATAGTAACTATTCTTTAGTGAGCATGCCAGATATTTTAGGTATATCAGGTAATTTAATCTTCAGAATAAATCTATGATAAAGAAAGGACTATTCTCATTTCATGACTAGGAAACAAGCTCACAAAGGGTAGTCAGTACCTTGCCTAAGTCACAAAAATAGCAATGTGCTGAAGCTGGCATTTAGCCTTGGGTCTCTGACACCAAAGGCTGTGCATACTGCCACACTGCATTATGTGTTGGCATTTGTATCACATGTTAGCACTGCAAGCATCTGAGGAGGCTGAAGTAGATGGATAAGGATGGTCATCATGGAGGCTATGCGTTACATGCATATCCTGGATCCCTTCACACACCTTTTGTGGTTTATCCCATGCCTGACTTACATGTATAGTGATAAAGCAACAAAAAAACCTTTTCAGCCCTGGCCGATATGGCTTGGTTGGAACATCGTCTCATAACCTGAAGGTTGCAGGTTCAGTTCTCAATCAGGGCACATACCTAGGTTGTGGATTCCATCTTCCATTTGGGTGTGTACAGGAGGCAACCACTCTATGCTTCTCTCTCACATTGACATTTCTCACTCCCCTTCCTCTCTAAAAGCAATGAAAAATATCCTCAGATGAGACAGGACCAAAAAAAGGAACACTTTAACTTCAGACTCCCATCCTTATGTTCAGATCAGAGACTGTAGACTGTAGAGTACAGTCCTAATAGTTTTAATTGGGTTAGGGTTTAAAAAAAAATTCCTCTCCAAAGAAAAATACATACAGAGTTTAACCAAAATACTTGAGAATATATAGGTCTTTAGATACTGTGTTATATGTAAATGTTGGAGCATTATATTATTAAATGGAATGGTTACTGCTTAAAAAATGGGATCTTGTAAATATAAATTCATAGAATTTCTCTTTAAAGTGAAATTCTGTACCTATCAGCATAACAGCATTAAAGTGGGCTTTTGATTGGGATTTGAGAATGGTATTTAGATTTTAAAAGTATAGATGTACAGCATTTACTAAAATGGGGTTTTTGCTGGGAACCCTCAGGAGCAATAATAGGCCTCTTTAAGACTAAGTGGATGGAAAGTCGTACCTCGAAGATATGATCTTTCTACAGAACAGCAGATTGAGAACTGAATACTCAAAAGGTTGCTGGCTGCTGCTGTAAGCACTTAATACTGGTTTGAGTCAGGAAGATACTGTTGGTAAATAAAGAAAAGGGAAACCAATAGTCCTAGCCTAGTTCCACCACTCCTTCCCCCCTTCTGTCATCCTTATTTTGTTCCCAGTGTGCATTTCCAAAGTTGAGACCATGTGCTCTTCTGTAGGCCAGGGTCACACTTGGTTCTTTGTTTATGATATCTTCACTCTTAGGATACAGGACACCAGTCTGTGGGGTTGTCAGGGTCTTAACTTTAAAAGTGAGGGCTTCTAGAGTTTTTTCTTCAGCAAGCCTCTCTAAGGTGCTTAAAATTGTGTAAAAGATAGTCTCCAGTTAGATTTGTCAGTCAGCTCTGGGATATAATGATCTTTGCTAAATATCAAAAAGCACTATCTCCCTTGTCTCCTGTTCCTGCCTTCAGTGGGAGCAGCTGGCACAGTCAGTGCCTTGTCATCACACACTGGGGACTCTCATAGTGCAGTTCAGTTGAGTGAATGAAGAGTTGTGGGGGTGGGAGGGAAATCTAATTGGGAAAGAGGCCCCTACAAGCAGAATTGCTGCAGAAAGAAATAGGAAAAGTTACTTTAGAAGGCACTTGGACAGAGTGGGTCTGATGTAAAAGCTGGAAGCTGTCATTCCTCCCTTTGCTAAAAAAGTATAGGGGAAGGTCAGAATTTATGCCAGAAATGCTGTTCTGTATATACCTCAATATGGAAAGTCACCTTTCTAGATGAAGCTTCTTCACAATTAACTTCAGGTTTCACATTTTTCTTTACTTTTCAGATGTTGGGAGATATGCCAAGTCTCCATAAGAGATTAGAAGAATAGCACTTTTACATAAACATTAATATAGACATGAGTGTAATTAAAATACCTCTTCGGTGTAATAATATTAATGATTGATATGCAGAAGAAATTTTTCTTAAACCCCAAATGTGCCCTGACCAGTGTGACTCGGTTGGTTGGGCATCATCCCATAAAGGGAAAGGTTACCATTTTGATTCCAAATCAGGGCACGTACATGAGTTGCGGGTTCAGTCAGTCCCCCATCAGGGCATGTGTGAGAGGCAACCAATTGATGTTTCTCTCTCACATCAGTATTTCTCTCCATCCCCCTCTCTCTAAAAATAAGTAAATAAAATCTTCTAAAAACCCTAAGTGTTAGTTACTGTCAAAGAGGCATATTTTCAGTAGTTACTTTATTGTGCACTTGCACCTGAACTTGATGTAATTCATGCTTCTCTGAGCCCTGTCTCTGTTGGCTCTGTTGGATACAGCCATGAGACTGACTGGAGGAAAGGGAATAGTCATTGGTGCTGTCACAAATAGGAAGTGTAATAGTGGCCCACTTCCAGTATGGAATTTAGCAAAAAGCTTGACTAAAATATTTCTCAGAAGAAAAATGTTATGATCTATAGGATTAAGTGGAATAATTTAGCAAAGATGCACAATTGTTATAAGCCATGTTCGAAGGACGTGAGATAAATGTGATGTTTGTATGAAATAGTATCATGTTGAGCCAAGACCACAGAGAATGAGACTTGAACAAGTTGAGTCTACGTCTTACTACTTTGAACCCTCCAGGAATAAAGTCTTAATGTCCAAAGTAGCTTTCATCACTGAACCAGAGGAACCTGGCCCAATAACATCACTGCCTGTAAAAAGTGTAGCAGAGGCAACATCCATGGGTGGCAGAATGGTGCTATACTTGAAGGCTAGGCTGCCTAGGAAATTCCAAGAGGGGGAACTGCTGACACCTTGAACATCATGGAACAAAAGGGACTTGGCTAGCAGGTCCACATGCCTATTAGGAGTGTGTTTGACTTATTTGGCTCATGAGCCAATCCCTGAACCAACCCCTGAGGCTAGAAGGATGTAATAGACCGGCCAGGTCTGGTTCTCATTCCCTACCTTGGAGCTATGGTTGGGATCAAACCTCACCAAAATCACATGGATCAAGTGTGAAGGAAGAAGTGACTCTAAGGGATACTTACGATACAGTAAGAAGAAGAAGAAAGGATGGGTATTGGAGTCAAAAG